ATTCAATTTTACCTATTTGCACCGAGAGCTAAAAATTCCATAAATCAGTCAAAAGCGGTTGAAACCTACTTTAGAATATCAACATGTACTTTATTTTATCGTCTTAGCCTTAATCTGGGCTTGAAATTAGGAAGTAAAATTCTCTCGTTGCAAAAGTTTTCTAGAGACTCTGTCAAAAAAGATCGAAATACTTTCTCTTGGTTTTTAAAGTTTGTAATGAACTTCATGAGTTCAAATAAAGTGAATTACATGTTGATATTTTGAAGAAGGTTTGAATGCAGTAGGTTTTGAATTTTATTTTGCAAAAAAACATTGCCACAAGATTCACGATGGTCGGACCATTATATTTCAATAGGTTTTGAGGTTTCCAGACCAAAGCATTGAGTAATCCTAGGACTTTGCGGGTGCCTGTAGCTACCGAAGTATGGCAAATGAAGATGTCGCCTAGATCCCGTTTTGTAGAGAGCAATTTCTTCTATCTAATGATGTAAAAAAGCCAATAGTTTAGTATTTCAAATTTTGCCGTTATGCACGAGTTTTCTAGTGATCCGTTCGAAAACCGTTTTTTGTAAACTTTTCGAAAAGCTTTTTGCTGGCGAGAAGATGCTCCATGAACTGCTCTTTCCATATCTGAAAAACCTCCACTCTGGCTCTTTCTGTTTGTGAGTTATTAAAAGAATGGTCATGGGTTATTCTTCTTTTGGATGAACAATAGTTATCGAAAATGTAGCCTGTTTTACGGTACACAACAAGTTCGAAGTGGTTTCAAATTAATAAGGCTTCACCTAAAGTAGTTGCTATAAACTCGAAAATGTTTCTAACTTGGGAAAGCAACGGAATGATCAATAGCTTTTAAAATTCCAGTCACGCCAATTTGTAGAGCTTGTTAAGTTATTGACTGATATAATAATCATTCTGGACAATGATGAGTTTAAGGGTACTTTTCAGGTAATCAAAGTTTGCACTATCCTACACAAATAGTAATAGTAATAGAAGAAGCAAACAGAACCGTAGCCATCTGGCTTAAATCCAAAGCATTTTACATACTATGTAGGCTAGAGTATGGAATAATAGTACTAGAATTGCATAATATTTTCCAGCTAATGTAATGAGGATATGTATACCTAAAGAATAGGTTCAGCTGTCTCGCGTAGACATAGTATGAATGCGAACCAACCGTAACGCTGTTCTTTCGGGTTTTTTATTTTTTTATTTTTCGTTCATTGAAATGTACAACTAATGTTCAAGTAATGAATTATAATTTGAATAATTTCTTCAAAAAATTTAATTAATTGATTGAGTTTTCATTTTTAGCTTCAGTGTATAAATTTTCTGGCGTTAGATTACATTTTTGTTGAATTTTTTGAAAAAGTGCAATGCCATAGTTGCAGGATTCGTTTTTACTCTTTTAGATGAATAATATTCATAAAAAGGCGCTGTTTTTATTGACAAATATTATTTGTTTACTATTAAGTATATTTAAATGCACAACAATACAAGAAATGTTTCATTACACTTATATATTGAGAGCAGTTGTTTACTTAAAACGTTCTTGAAGAGAAAACTCCGAGATCTCGAATATGTATCGAAAATAAATGTTTGGAAGTTGATTTTTGCAGTTCGTCTGCAAAGATCAAGTTCGTGTGTTCGATCCTAGTTTCGTGCATCGATTGATTTTGTGATTTGATAGTTTAAGTTTCAGAATGATATAATGGGAATTTATATTCTCGATTTCGTTCTGGTTCAAGATTAAAGCTTAAACCAAATAAATGTTTTCTTTTCTTAGGTGTTGGTCATTTTATTGTTCAAATTTGTAAAATTTGGGGTGCCAAAACCATCATAACATCAGCCTCGAAAGACGACGGTATTAAATTGTTAAAGGAAACCTATAAATGTGATCATGTCTTGAATCATGCCAAATCAAATGTCGTTGATGAAGTGAAGAAACTTACGAACAACCTGGGTGCTGATATCGTCTACGACGCCACATATCTCCCGTCAAGCTTTGAGAAATCTATTCAATGTACGGCTGAAAATGGTGGTAGTTGGATTGTTTTGGGTGATTTTGCTCATAAAGGTAGCGTTGAAGCTGAAGCACTTGAAAAACGACATGTTGAATTAATTCATGCTGATCTTGCGAAGTATATCTTTAATCCGGAATATCAAGCAACAGATTTCGTTCATCAAGGACTGAAACAAGCAGCTGATTGGATTGTTAGTGGACAATTGAAACCACATATTAGTGAAGTAGTTCAACTTGAACAAGTAGAACAAGCATTAGAAAAATTGAAAAAAGGACAAACTGGTTTTGGAAAAGTGGTAGCCAAAATACATTAATTGCTGTGTGTTTTTAAACTTTGACTGTTACAGTGGTGTGTAGCTGATGTCATCGACAAACAAAACTTTTGATTGTTTGGTAGTAGATTAACATTTTAAGAGCCAGTTCAGTTTTGTGCTCTACCATTCAACAGTGTTTTTTTGAAAGATCGTGTGCTCAATTTTTAATGTAGGAATGTTAACTTGTTATTACAAACTAATAAGCTACCATCTCGATTGTATTCTGCATCTTACCACGAAGTTTATTTAAGGAACTTAAGTGTCTGTACAAGGCTGTAAAACGGTTTCGGAAATACGCAGAAAACTTTCGGTTCTTAAGTTACGAACAACACGAATGAATCGGTTCAACAAGTCATTTTTTAAGTACACTAGTTGTTGATTGGTTCTTCTCCCATTGCTTCATATCGTTAGACGATATACCATACAATGCTTTGACTCTGCTATGAGAGAGCCGTACTTATATAGCCGTGAGGTTGAGGGTGACTCAACGGAAATGTATGTAGGCTTGAATCGTCTACCGCGGATCGACGGTACCGACCCCAACAATAATTTATAATATCAAGTCGATTAATTGAAAAAAACTTAATTGGAGGGCCTCCGGTGGAGGTATCCTTTTTTATTCTGCAACAAATCGTTCCTCGGAAATACCAAAACAGTGATACGGACAACAGTGAAAAAATTATACTACTTTCTGTCAGTCCGAATACGTAGATTTTTTCAAAATTATTCGTTTCAATAGAATCATAGCCCCACTGCAAATAAGACGTATTCTAGTGGTTAAAACTATATTATTTTGTAGACATATACAATGTAAAACAAGCACCATAAAATAAAAAAGTAAAATAAGCTAGGCATATAACGGCAGAGCATACGTTTTAGCATGGCTCTTCCATGAAAACAGTTTAGCTGAACTAAACCCCAGTTATCCACTTGATTTGTTGATTGTGCACTGGAAGCCCGCTAGACAATAATAGAGCGTGAGGATGCTGGGATAGACTAAGATGTTAGTTAGACTGAGCTTCGCAGAAGAGTCGGTATACCAAAAATAAATCAAGTGTTTTAGTTAAGAATTAAAATAGCAAACTTCAAGCCTGCTTACGAAACTTGTCCAGCAGTGGCATTATATTTTTAATATTGGTTTCAACAGCATTCTGTAGTGCTGTAAACTAAATTAAACAAACAAACATAGAAATAAGTAAAATTAGTTAGTAAGATAGTGTATTCGTCGATATAAATTATTCCTTAGAATACTGTTCACAAGTTGTTCTTCTGTTCAAAACTATTACTTTCAAAATCAATACACCCTCTCTGCCGGAGTAAACGCCCATTCCATAGTACAACACTACTTTGGACAAAATTTTGAAAAACTGACTGAGGGTCTTCTTTATCGAGGAGTTCTATTACTTTTATTAAAATGTTATTATGTTGACAAACATTATGTGTTTTTGCTGGGATTTTTGTTTTTTTTATTGCAAAATGTGCGCCATGTGATCTAGAGAAGTACGTTACGTAGAAAACTTTTGAAAACGGGAGGATAATCTCCGGACACAGAAGATTGATCAATGCACGGTTTTTCTCTCTAACAAAGGCCCAGATTCGGCGCCATAAGCTACACAAGTAGAAGACAAACGTGTTTTGGACTTAGATAATTATTGTTATTTTTTTATTAATGTTATTTATTCAGAGAACGAAAAATAAGTTTTTTAATTATTTCTTCTGTATAAATAAAACAAAGACATTTAAAGTACTGAGAAGAGAATTTTAATTTAGTAGAAAAGAAAAGAAAGAAGAAAAAATAAAAAAGACGATTTGCTATTTCAAAACAGAAGGAATACCGAAGAACTGGAGATTCATTGGGCATTGAAAGGATTTAGGTATTGGTTTCAAGAATAAAGAAGAAACTCTAACTACTACGATCCAATTACTACTATCTTCTTTGGGAGACTTGTTCTCTTTTAGGTATCTATCTCAAAGAGGTTTTACTCGATTGTTGCCTTATTTAAGCATACATAGACTTTAAACCTCGTCTGCGTGTTGCCTTTGACTGTTGATCCATCTTCTACAAAATTCCTTCTTTAAGTCTACTCTATAAACATAACGTTTGCGGTTTTTGTACTTAGATGTTTTGTTTTTATTTTTTATAGGCTGACAGACACTTACCGCCACACAGTAGTTTTTCTGTCAGTTAATGATCACATCATATGAGTTATTTACTGGAGTGTAAATAGATAATACGTTAGCGATCTTTACTTTTTTATTTTTTCTGTTTTTTGAGGCTAACAAATGGAAGTAAAGCTAAAATTGCAGTCTCGGCGTTTTGAGACCAGGGGTGGCACTTTTCTGGTTACTCGGGAACTTCACTAGTCAGTTACTTCGTTACTACTAACCAACTTAGTTACTTTTTTTGCTAGCAACGAGTAAGTTATTTCGTTACTAGTTATTAGTAACGAGTAACTACGGTTACTTAGTTACTCTGTTATTCCAACAGTAAGTAAGTAACGAAAACTTCATTACTTTCGTGGACTCTTGAAAGTGGCTTGTGTTAGATCAGTTTTTAATGAGGAATCGAATGAATCAACCTCGAGTCTAGAAAAAGCCTGACGAAGCGGCGACTTTTTTTCGAAGAACCAAGATTTTTGATCTTTTGGCACCTTCTCAGTATTTTAGGCTTTTCTCGGCGAAGAAATGTTTTCTGAGGCTGGGAAGCTGATATTCGTGACCAGCCCGATGCGCTGAACAAGAATATATATCTCAAAGTCGAAAAGAATTCCACTCGAAGTTTGCTTTATGTTCATCACTAAAAATAGTTCGAGAAACTATAAAGCTTTTTCAGATAGATCGACTAGTTACTCGTTACTAGTAACGACTAACTACTGTCGTTACTTTCTGCTGGGATAACGAAGTTGTTCAGCGTATCGAGCTGATGACGAATATCAGCTTCCCAGCCTCAGAAAACATTTCTTCGCCGAGAGAACCCTAAAATAGAGAAGGTGTCAAAAGGTCAAAAATCTTGGTTCGAAAAAGCGTCGCCGCTTTGTCAGACTTTGTTCTAGAGACTCGAGCTTGGTCTCACTTGATTCCTCATTAAAAACTGATTCAAGGCAAGCCGCTTTCAAGTCTCCAAACCTAAAACTGAAAGTTTGGGCAGGTATTGAATTTTCAAGGTCAAAATTCGAGATCCTGTGTTCAAAAACCTATCTAGTTTTTTGAATTAAGAGCTATACCCTTTGTTTATACGTCAAAAGATGCGCCTTGAAACAAGTTTTAAAAGGACGCAGAGCTTTTTTTAAAATTTTATTTAATTGCTGAGAAAGTTCACTTTTTCTAAGTCAGAGGCGAAAAAGTCGGAAGTCTGTCCGTAATTATCAATTTTTTCCATCAAAACTCAACTTAAAGGCAGTAGAAATATCATCCTCGGAATCAGGATCAAAAACTGAGTCGACTGATGTGTATTTCGATCCTATGCAACCACTTTGGTTTTTTTCGAATGTTCACCTTGAGAAATTACCACCCAAAGAAATCAAAAGTTTAGAAATACACATAACTGTAGGATTTAAAGCCGAGGTTTTCAACATTTTTTCTCGGTTATTTCTAATCTAAATGCGCAGCTATCATTCCGCGTTAAGTTTTTCTTAAAGAATTGCTCAGGAAGCTGGTTTCACCTACTTGGAATGATAAAATATTAGGAAATTATCGATTTCTAAAGTTCAATTGTTAATTGCTCATATATTTACCTTGTTGACAGAATTGGAAGATGCTGCAACAAACGCTTCACCAGTTTTAATGGCAGCAGCATGTAAGAGTTGAAATAATTCATAAACGTTTTTCATTGATTGCATTGTTTCATGGCGATAATTTGATTTAGTACTAGAATTATTATTTAAGAATGTTTGTTGAGATAATTCGTCAATTTCATTTGTAGTATTTGCAACTAATAAATGATACGATCCACTGCATGTTGGATTAATAACAACTACACGACTCTGATCTGGATTGTTAATTATATTCTTTAATGTGGCTTCGCCCGTAACATTTATTACTGAATTATTTAATCGTCTTGGTATATAAACTATTGTTTCATTATTTGACAATAATAATGTTTTATTAGCACAATTGACAGTCATTACAAATGATGATGTGGTTGTATTGTAAAAGTATTGTTTTAATTGCCCAATGACACCACGTGGATGTATACGGGATAATATTCGAACACGATTTGGACGTTCAGGACCATTTTGATTTGCAAATGTACCATTTTGGGAACCCGAGTCGTATAAACTCCAACTTGTTTCACAACCTTCTTGAAAACAGTTGTTTTTCCATGGCCATATTAGAGCAGATATCATTGTTTTATCTTGGGATTCTATAGTTGGAATTAATAATGTTTCATCTGCATCTGCACCACAACCATATTCTGTAACTACAATAGCAGTTTGTAAACCAACAGATTCATTTAATGCCGACTCATATGCAAAACTAGAATAATAGCGAAAATTCCTGATTTTATGGTTCTAGATGTTTTGAGTAGATGAAAGATAAAAAATAATGATTCTTTCTACATTTTCATGCTGAGAGAGTGTTGCACAGGGTAGCCAGTAATAGCTTTGTTTCAAAATGCGTTTCTCCATTTTTCACACAAAATTAGCCATCTATTCAATTTTTAAAAAATTAAATCTTCTATACGTCTGAGAAGTTAAGATCATCGAAAAATTTACGACATTTTTTCCAAAAAGTTTTCTTTTCTGATATTTTCTCTATTACGGAAGAACTCTATTCAAGAAATTCCATGCAGTATAGCTTATTCGAAAAAGCGCTAAACACTGTACAAAATAAAATATTTAAGAACCTGCGGACATAAGAAAATTGAACCTTAAGCATTTAACTTTTGGAAAATTCAAGACATTTTTGATCAAAATTCAGTTTGGTTCAAGAAGAACTAAAATATAAACCCATGCACTATATATCGAAAAAAACTCAGTATTTGATAAGTATAAAACCTTAAAATTAAGAAGGTGGCTAATGTTGTGCTTTGGAATCGTATCAGCTATGACAAACCTCGTGAAAGTCAATAAAATAACTAATATTTCTCCGTTACAAAGTATTTCCATTTAAAATCAATGTAATATTTGTAAACTACGCATAAAACTGCATATAGAGAGGGTTATTCGATCAGTTTCGAGAAAAAAGCTTTCAATCAAAAGCTGATCTGGACTTTTCCTCACGAAATTTCGCGAGCAATTCGCATCGACTTTCAATCGTAAAGCATTTTTTCCAAAATTCCAAAAGTTTTAGATGCAATTTTACATGTAGGGTACGAAAAACGATTCTTTTTGACTAACAAATTGAAAACTAGTGTGACACGCTTAGGGTAAATCTAAAATGTCTCTTATTGTTTAATTTAAAACGCAACATAAAGTTCGTTAATGCAAACCGCTCAAAAAACGTTATTATTATCCATTTCAAAATATAAGGCAGTCCATTGTTTGTCTAATAACTGTTGATGGCAGAGAGAGCTGCGGCTTCCACTATTGGAAAGTAAATTGATGGGGCTATATACTTACAGAATAACACTAGTAAAAATGCCGCCTGTAGGTGATAAGCCTCTTCACAACATTTTGCAGAAGGTTACTCATCACTAAAAACGTTTCGGATTTTGAATTCTGAGACGTTAGGTAGATACACCGGACTGAGATCTTCAGTTCTAAGCATGTCTCACATCTGCACCTTTCAAGATTGCGGAGCTAGAAAGTTCTCCGACGACCATGCTATCTCGGTTCGCGCAACTCTAGAGATGTCGAAAAGGCTCAAAACATAGATAATCGAGTACTCTGAACATTGTAACAATGCTTGTTTTTCTACAAAAGTTGAATAAAGTTCGCCAGAGTCATTTCTCTAAAAAGCGAGTATTTGGCTACGGCCTCCTACACTTCAAACAGATATACCTCACTCTTTTTACGTCAGAAATTGATCAAATTTTGATGAAACACCCAAACTACGATGACAAATAAGGGACGTATAAATATGAAAAAATATGACGTATAAAGGAAATGATTTCTAGAATCATGAATTTACAAATCATTTCAGAAAAAAAAATTCCTTTATATCAAACAATAGACAATTTAATTCTCTACCAGCTTGTATATTCATTTTTGATGTTCCGCACAGTAAGTCTAGCAGGAAAGTTCCAAATGTTTTAATTGTTTCACGCAGTTTTAAAGTGCAAACTGCTCTCTTCTTTTCATTGCTTATAATGATTACACAAAAATTTCAATAATTTTGTTACAGTCAAATGGTGAAGAATTTCATACTTTACAAAAGCGTTTACTTGAAGAAAACTTATTTCAATTGCTAGTTTTAATACATAAAGTTCCAAGTCCACCGAAGTTTCTAGCACTAAAAAGAAGTTTTGACTATTCCAGTATAAAATCCAAAGTTCAAATCATTACTTTATAGATCAAAAAATGCAGAATTTCGCGCTCTATCAGACTGTGTAACTTACAAATAAATCTGCTACTTTTTTTACCTGAAAAACTAGGAATACTGGTTGTCGCTAAGATGGGCGAAAAAAAGGAGAACATGACCTTTCTTAAAGACTCTTTTTTGCTCTGATTTCATCTAAAATATCATTGTTTGTCATTAAAACAAAACATCATATTGTAGAAAATTTCTTGATGAATTTTTCGGTATACCTTGTTTTGTTTAATAAGTGATCCTTCGCGAGGTTTCGCGCAAAAAATCGAGTTTTTGAAGGTGTAGTTAAGAAGTTCGGAGCTTTTCCTGCTAGACTTACTGTGCCGGACATCAAAGATGAATCTTAAAAATGAATACCTATATAATATCTACAATCTTGTGAAGACTTAAATTGTCTATTGTCTGATATACTAATGAATATTTCTTTTGTGAAACGATTTGTAAATTCATCGTTCTAGAAATCGTTTCAGAACTTGTGGGACACCCTTTATGTTCATCAAATTCCTCATAGCCGAAAACCTACAGCCATATTAAAGAGCTTCTGAAAATCTTACATAAAAATACGTCTACTCATTTAGACTTACCAGAAGACTTTCCTAAAAACCGCTCCTGTTCAAGCAAACAAACCTATGAGAAAAATTTAGATACATTTCGTCTATAATCGAGCGATACGCGACTAGTTACCATCCGGATTACTAGGTGGAAAAGGGACTTTTAACTAGATGCGTCTGCATGTGTAACTATCAATAGTTAAATCGATCGATTATCGGGCGATAAATTAATAGTTGCAACTAGAAGAAATCTGGCAATCGCCCAGATTACTAAATTTCCACTGTCGTTACACAATAGTTGCAATCAAGTAAAAATCTAGTACTCTAGATGAATCGGACGATACTAGATTATTTCTGACGCTTGGGTGAAGAGATAAAAAGTTAGTGTGCTGAAAAGTTGGCATTCTGAGCTATTTGAACGAGCTTATCTTAACGGTTATTTTAAGAAAAATCGTCATTCCTGACAGGAGGAACAAACTCTCAAAACATTTGACTCTATTTAGTTTGTAAAAAATGAGTGTATGAAATTTTAAATCAGCTCTCATACTAAGATACTATAACCAGTTAGAGATTTAGCATAAAAATTGTGTTGTAGCAAAAACATACTCGAATGATGGTGGATATTCTGATTGATTTAAGTGTAATATACTATCAATTGTGAACACATGTGTGTAAACATGAGGAGAATAGACAATATTTCTATATGATGTAAATGGTGTTGAATGTTGGGGAGTAAAATCAAGTAAATTTCGAAATGCGGTTGGTTCAACAAAAAATAAATGACGTTTATCATTGATTCCCAGATTTGGATAGGAGCAATTTGTTCCAGTTGGAGTATATTTCGGACAATCAGGTAAATTATCACGAACACCAGTTATGGCTTGTATAACACGTTTATAAAATGGATATAAATAATCACTAGAAAAACTATATTGATCAATATGCGTGCCAGGCTGCGGTTCATTCATAATCTATTTAATGAACAAACAAATGCTATTATTAAAATCAAGTTTAATTCAAGAAAAAGAATAAAGTCATTATAAGACTTGAAATGGCACTCAGCAACTCGTCATTCACAATGAACATTGATGGAAGATAAAATCAGTTTCGTCCCCTTTCTTAGCATTAATGGAACATATGAATAAGAGTAAAAGTAAAGACTCGGAATTCTGCCCGTAATTCTCAATTTCCTCGATCAGAACTCAACTTTTATACAGTAAAAATATCATATTCGGAACCAGAATCAAAAACTGAGTCGATTGATATATATATCTACCCTATCCGACTATTTTGATATTTTTCGAAACGTTCGGAAATTCTTACATTGAAAACGTACCAAAATTTTCACCCAGAATTGAAAATCAACTAAAAAGTCCAAATACATACCGATCGACTCAGTTTTTGATCCTGATTCTGAATATAATATTTTTATTGTATGAAAATTGAGTTCTGATAGAGAAAATTGAGAATTACGGGCACAATTCCGAGTTTTTCGCCTCTGATTTAGAAAAAATGAATTTTCTCAGCAACGGAAGAAAAGTTTAAAAACGCAACGTGTAGTTTTGTGCGCCGTTGAAAGCGGATTCCAATGCACTATAGAAAGAATTTAATACATAATAGGAGGGACGAGAAAGTTCGGAAAGGTGAGGGTCTCATTTTTTACTGTTCCGATAGATGATTTTTTTTTTCAAGTAGTAGGTAAGGTAGTAGAACTAGTATAAATACATTTCTAGGACCAGTTTTACTCGAGGATTTCGAAAAAAAGGCTTTTAGAGCGTTAAAATGTAAAGGAAAAAATTATGAATAATTTCTGTAGGAGAGCGTTTTCCGGGTTTTTGACTCCTGCTCAGTATTTTGCATTTTATGAAGACTCGGTCAAATCGGAAAAATAAGGTCATATTTGTGATCAGCAGGCTCCGCCGTATCAGAATATTTGTGTTTAAAAGAAATCAATACAAAAAGAGGTCACGGAATCTTTGAATTACGCGCACCTTACATCTATACCATGAAAGCGCTGAGATAAGATTAATCGTTGAGATATTCATCACTGCCATTACCAGAACGAGTTCTATTTTTCACCAACCAAAGGGTAAACACCGATTTACAAACACAATGATCACTTTTTTAGGCGTGTCAACACCCAAGATTTCAAAAATTATATCCTTGCTGCAACCCTGACACTGCTGATACTGCATGTTCAGCTGTAACCAAAAGGATAAAAACTTCTGTATTTTTCAGCAGTATCTTCCATATAAACTCACACTTCCGTTATTTCTTCAAAATAAGGAAATGCTATCTATTTCAAATTAAAAGATCGGAAAAGAAAGTCTCCGCTCTCGAGGTATTGGAAAATAGTCACTTGTCTTTTAATTTGAAATGAACAGTAGTTTCATACAAATATATTCATGTACAGCAAGCCAGTTAGTGGTAGATTGGAGAGTCGTAGTCAAGATTGCATACACTAGCTTCAGCAAAATTTCATTAGACTGGTACTTTGTCTTTTATTAGGGTTGCCTGATAAATCACGAAATGCATCGCGTGTTAGCTCAGCCGGTCTATTCTGGTATCTTTATCAGTGGGTTTTAAAGGACCAAAATAGATATCATTAAGTTTTGAATGAACGAAGAACAAATAATTACCTCATATCCTAAAACTGCACTATTATTTACAAACTTTTTTGCTAAAAAAGCAATGGCTCCAATATAATGATCTTGTAAACCTGGTCCAGGTGCATTTCCTTGTGTAGCATTAGGTGGTATAGAATTATTATAAAAATTATCAAATGCTTTCATCATTGCTAAATTTAAATTTCCAATGCCAAAGAAGGCTAATGCTGGCCAATCATCAGTCATAACTGCCCATTCAGGAGCACCATCTTGTCCATCTGATGCTATTAAATAGGGTGGAATTTCCTGTTCTTTATCACCTAATATATAACGAGAATATAAATCTTCATGCATATCAAGTATAACATAGACTTGTTGTTCAGATGCCCAATCAACAATCTACGAATATTAAACTCTTTGAACTAATCAGCTTAGTTTTAGTGTCAGAATAATAATACCTGTTCGATGCGTTGTAAATACATTTCACTATAGTTTCCTGGTGTTGGTTCTAATGCACTCCAACTTAAACATAATCGAATAACATTAAAACTATAAAAATAGAAAAGAAAAGCATCCTGTTATTAAATACATGAATTATTACTAATAAACTAAACAAACCCCCATCTTCTTATTTGAGCAAAGTCATTATGACTATTCCACTCATCACTAATATTATACATTCCTTTGCCATAATCTATTTCACATGTAGGAGGTTCTTGATAAACATAATTATTAGATGGACATTGCCCATTATATAATAAAGGATTAATTGGTCTATCTTGATCAGCAGGAATATTCCTTTGTTCTGTTTCAACATTAACACCGCGTAATATTACATGTCGTTCATATTCATCAGCAATATAACCATAATGTCCTTTACAGGAGAGAAACACAGTGAGACATAGAAGATGTTATAAACATTCTTAAATGATTTTAACAAACACTTCACATGTGACAACAGAAAAGAGTTTATAACCGATTAGATCCCTAAATGGCATTGACGAAGACTGACATTCTCGGGTCAAAGAGTATTATCAGGTGGAAAGAGTATTGGAAAATGATTCGAGCTGACTTAAGCTCACCGTGTCAATCACTATGTAAGCGGACTACAGTAGCTTTGCTTTACCACTCCATTCATCAAACGCTTTTTAAAGGAGCATGTGATTATCATTATTTGATATAAAATATGAACCAATGGCACAACCAGACTTTTTTTATCCTTGTGCAAATCTCAATTGGGGTGAAAAAAGCTGTTGAACAATATTCGACGGATGAATTCCGTGTAGGACTGAAGCTTTTCTCTGAACTATTCTTTTTTGTGTGCCATTTCCCACGCAAAAAATAAATATATTGCTATTCTAAACCTCAGAAACCCTAAGCTGTTTAACTGAATAGATATTGGTTGTTAGATTTTGAGAGCTACGAATCGCATTGAAAGTGACAAATCCATTACCTGCTGTCAAGTTTGGTTGAACAACATGAAGCCATGGCATAGAAGAACCACATGTTATCGTAAACATACTGATCGAAAGAATGAGGATCGTAAGTTCTAACAACAGTAACTTCAACATTTGCTTGTCTTTTCCAACACCTATAAGAGAATAGGTAATTAAGAATTATTTCATGCATAAATAAGACAAATCATTTTACTAAACATCGATTCGAAATTTGTCCTATCAATTTACCGAGAAGAGGGGATGGGTTGAACACTTTGATTAATCATGAGATACGTTAAATTTTTTTCTTTATTAAATAAGACCAAATTAAAGCACATTACTAATTTGCATAACTACATAAATATTTCTGTTTCGTTGCCACAACAATTTATGTCACGTCTACTATCGGTCGATATATCCTGGATATCTTTCAGCTCAGAAAGATCTTATTAAGGTTCCGTTGTGGATTTAATATCAGTTGGAAGCTCTGCAAATACTCTAAGAACTGGTATATAAATTAATGTCAATATGACCTAGGATCGTACTGAATATCTATTTCAATAGCAAAGTTATATAAGATAGAATGACATTCTGGAAAGAGTGTAACCATTCACTGTTTTTTTTTTTCGCAACTTTGTAGGCCACATCAAATTGTATATATTCTGAAGTTTTATCGATGCGAGGACTTGAAATTGCTGAGTAAAATTTGTTTACTGACTTCTTGAGCTTTTGACCATCCTCTATTTAAAACATTTATAAAAATTCAAAATTAAAGGTTGAAGAAAACAGCGGATGGTTACCCTTTTTCCGTAATGTCATTCTAACTTGCATAACTTTGCTATTGGAATAGATATTCAGTACGATCCTAGATCATATTGACATTAATTTATATACCCGCTCGTAGTGTATTTGCAGAGCTTCCAGTTAATACTAAGTCCACAATGGAACCTTATTAAGATCTTTCCAAACTAGAAGATCGGGAGTATGATTCAGTAGTTGCTAGATGATTTTGTAAAGATTTCTGCGTTGAATCTAGACGTGTCATAAATTGCTGTAGCAGCAAAGCAGAAACATGAATTTTGAAGTTTATTAATGCTATTGGATGATGACCGATGTGGCATACAAATGGGTTCTCTAAACGATTAGATAGAAATTCAATAAGAAGCTACGGATTGAGTCACAAATGCAATTCACTGTTCAACTACAATAAAGCAAGACCGTGGAAATGTTATCTGTACTGTTTTATGTCCTGTAGAAAATATTGAACTCTAGGAATCCTTACTCCTTCCTTACTCGCAAAAATTTCGGCTTTTTTACAGAGTCCCTTACAGCGATTTTCAAAAAATTTTCATTTTTGATGTTTTTCAAAAGCACCTGGTAATATGTAATCGACCACACCGGCAGAAGTCTGATGTGCAGAAAGCTTGAGTTTAGGCCAAAGCTCTTATTTTTTGCAAAAAGACGTGCTTCCTGGGCATGCTCTGACATGGTTTCAATGTAAAAAATCCGAAAATTTTGTGAGCAGGGAAACGACCGCGCCCGCCCTCCTGCTTTATGTAAAATTATACTAAATATAAAACATGCAAATGAGAAACTGGATATATTGCTTAAGTTTTTCAAAACCAAAAATTCGAACCAGAAAAAGAACAACAAAATATAACCTTGGCTGATAAAATCATATTACGTTTATTTAGATATTAGTTATCTTTCACAACTTCCGTTCATAATTCTTACTGTCTACTGACGTATATAGTTCATGTGTAGTGCATCTGATTTGAACTTTGTCTTATCATATTTTCGACTTGACAGGATTACTGGAACTCCTCGGGATTGTACATATGAACTATCTTGCCTCTGATCCTCTATCTTATCTAACTATCTTTCCTTCGGACCCTGTGACTTGAGAGTCCTATAGGAGTTACAGAAGTCCTCTGGGAGTTATAGAAGTCTGTCGGAGTACAAAGGGATTTCATCCAGATTCCGGGAGAAGTACTTCTTATAAGGAAAGGTCTTATATTGTTTTTATACCCCGCCCAGAATAAGAAAAATATTCTTTTGAAATCAGAACTGTAATCTGATGAGACCAGGTCAGAATTTTAAGATCAATTAATCTGAACATTCACTAGGGGCGGCATACATTTAAAAAAACAAACTTACTGGTTATCTTATGGAACAGTTCTTTTTGAAAACTATGTAAAGTGTCTATAAAATTTAGATCAGTATTTGTATGAAATGAAAGAAAGACGCAAAAATTATTTTTTTAATGTACATTGAAAAGACAACATATGCACTGTTTCACACATTCATATCTTATTTCATAACTTTATTACTATCCATTTCGAAGTATAATGTGGGTGATTGCGACATGAATAACTGGAGAGCGGAAGGAGCTATCGAGATCGGGTGTTCGCTATCATGTAGTAATATGAAGAAAACTAACATTTTTGCCTGGTGCGCTGAAGGATTTCTGACTGGATCTCCGGAAAACCACCTTGCCGAGGGGAAGCCGTGATGAATTTCTGATTCCCACAAGTGCCTTCAAATCGGAAAACTCTTCTCCACAATTCTACGCAAGTCCTAGATCTGTCCGATCTTGCGTTCAAACGCTAGACCTTAGGCACTGAAATCACCGAAAAACCGCAATCCATGGTTCTGGGCCCAGTATATGCTTAAAAATCGTTGGTTCATAGGTTTTCGACCATGCTGATCACCGTGGGAATGTTTGTTTTGCCCTATGAAAACTTCCATGCGATTGGATGCTTGAAGCAGTCTCATTCAGATTATTTGGGAGAACCAAAATTGCTCATTGCGAAAATTGTTCGAATTTTTTTTAATCGTTTTTAAGAAGAATGATACCTAAAAATTCTTTTGATTTTGATCAAGTAAGATCCATCCTTTTGAAAAGGATCAATCACTGTCACAAGTTGCTCTTTTGATGTCAGTAATAATGATCTGCTTTTTGGATCAAGCGAATTTGTTTTTTCAAAAGAGATCAATTCGACTCAATCTTTCTCAATCAATTTTGATCAATCAATTTTCATAATTGATCAAAAAAAGACAATCTTATGTAATGAGGAAAATAGCTTATAAATAGAACACTTCTGTGCCATGTTGTTTCGAAGTTAACGAAGTTTTGTATGTTTATATGGCCACGTTTAGCGTTAGTGCAACTGAAAAAAGTAAGCCACTTCTATAATAGAAATTAGTAATGAACATAAATTTGATTTGAGTTGGCACTTTTGCGCCACTTCTTATGGAAAAGGTGTAGTTGATGGAATTGGGGGTGTTGTGAACGCTGTATTGGTTGTGTTGTGGTCAGCTGTATTGGTTGGAGAAGTATGTCGATCAGCTGAAAATGTAAAAAAGTACATGCTATCTCAAACATTAGTGTTTATCCAGCTGGGGACGTAGATTCAGCCTCCTTTGAGCTGAGTATTTTCTTTTCTTTATGTTTTTAAAATTTTTTGTTTTTTTTCATTTTTTCTGATATTTGTAGGCATGCACCAGTTTCTAACTGGTGTGGGGGCATCCGGGCGAATTGCTATACATCAGTTATCACGATTCTCTCAGAGCTGTGAAACATCTCATTTTGTAGGAAAATGTTTGCTCTACAAAATGCATTTGTTAAAAAAATTCCGGAATCGTTTTCTGGAATTCTCAATTCCAGAATCACTATAACTAAGAAAACTGGGCGCGAGGATGATTATAAAAGTAAAATTATGTTATGCTAAAGTGACTATGCGAAATTATCATTGAAAATTGTACGTAACGGCCTATGCATGAGTTTTGCACAAAATGTCGAGCGGAGTTTCTTCATGGTCCCACTATTCTGAAGATTTTCACTTTTTTTTGTTTGATGGAGCACAGTCTGGACTACAAAATATACATCAAATAAAACTTTCTCTCGCAAAATTTTACTGAGAAAAACCCAAAAACTAAACACCACTAAAAATCTTTTGGTAAAATTTTCTATAACATATCAAGAAAATCTTTTCACTGGTCTGAAAAATAATCACTTTTTAATGAAACAAAATTCCTGAAAAAATAGCCCATAAAAACTTCTATCGATCTAACTTCCTTAAAGACTAACTAGTTGATTTTCCAACGGCTACCAGACAAGCGATCACTTCTTCAGGAAAATCAAATAAAAAGAAATACAATTGCACACTGTTCGAAGAGTTTTTTTCCCTTGATTTAGAGTGAGACTCTAATTGTATCTAATTATTCATCCAGACAAAGTAAGAATTCTGACTTTGCCTAGAGATTTGTCGGACAAATTTGGTTTGCTACTTTATCCGGCAAGTCGATTTCTAAAAGGTGGTCTTCTATTGCGGTCGACTTTTGTCGCATGCTAGTAGTTCAACGATGGAAGACCATGATCTCCTATTCGACTTTCAAGTCATATAATCCACCATGGTCTTAATTAGATGACATTAGAGCCAATAATCGAAATAAATAATATTTTAGAGAAGCAGCCATAATTGACAAAAATTAACTATTTATACTTTATTAAATTGTACACTCAGCGTTTCACTCTGCTCATACAACTATTTTCAAGACAATGTCTTCTTAAGACAATAGAATCTTGAAATGACAATGGTCTTTTAATGAGGGATGGTCTTCTATTATAGGAGGGAGTTTGACAGATAATCATTTCGTTGAATCAAATGATACTACTACATTCGCCATCATAAGTCAGTACGCACATTTATACCTTTATATCACTAATATTTTTCAATAGCAGCGGTAGACATTTGCAGTAAAACATCGTCACATCAATTATTATTATATATATTTCCTATGTTTAATTGTCTCTTTCTGTACATTTCGTGAAATACATGGTTGAAAGCAACATCCTATGTAACATTTGTGCTTCTAGTATTATTGTTTTGTTCATTATTAACATGTATGATTTTATCATCTTCAATATTAACCCTGTACCAGAATGGAATTATGCTATGTTATTTGATCTATCCCATGTCGTCTATTCTGACAGAAAACCTATATGCAGTTTTGTAGAGCTTTTCGCGGGCTACAAGCTCATATAATTAACATCTCTGACCGCCTCATCTTAACACAGAAAA